CAGGCAAATGCTTTCCACTGACATCCCCCACCTCAATTTTCTGGGGCATAGATTTGCAACTTGATTTTCTCCCTAGTTCCTCTCTTTCAAATATAATTGTACAAAACAAACAAGCGAACAAGCAAACCAAATAAAACTTCACTGCAAAAAGTTGGTGTCTTTTTTTCTGATCCAAACTTTGCCGTTAAGAAGCTTATTAAAAAAAAAAAAAAAAAAACCAGCAACACAAAGAGTCTGGGTTGAGAATCAAGTCCAACTTTTCTAGCTGTGGAACTTGTGAAAACTCAGCTTCCGATTTTGCATTTAAAAATATATCTACAAAAAAAAACAAAAAGACAAACAAAAAAAACCTCTCACAGTATCTGGTTAAACGCTTTTGCCATTGCCTTTAAAAATCAGTTTACAATACAAATATTTGGTGCCAAGACTCACATGTTAATTTCCCCCATCCATAGACACACACATTTCTTTTAATCTTATTTCTCACCTTCTTTACAAAAATGACACATATATTAAAAAAATCTATCAAAAATGGCCGACAATCTTTCAGATTTAGTCATTGCCTTTAAGAATATATATATATATATATTTAACTGCCACATATATCTTTTGACATTCAGAATCACTGTTCGATTTGTCAGTGGAATACAGACGCACATTGTCTCTTCTAAGTCATATTTAAAAAAAACCCAATCATTTAAAACAATCTCTAGAGGAGGTTAAATGATCATTACCTTTAAGAGTTTTCTTTTTTGACAGCCATGCAAATATTTTGCACGGAGAATCCCAGCCACATAAACTTACATATTCATTTTCTGTCTATTTCTTTTTTTTTTGTTTCAATCAGAACCACATTTTAGCCAACAGGGAGTAAAATGTTGCTGATTTTGCCCATTGCCTTTAAAAGACCTTTTTTTAACCTCCACACAAAAAAGGTTTGCTTACTGTAAAGATTCATTTATCAGGCACTGCAAAAAGAAATGTGCGAAGGTTCATTTTTCTAACCCAGGTATGAAAAAATAATTGATGATAGAAAATTTCAACTCATAGAAGAGGAAAATTATTGCCAGCTGAGCCGTCGCCTTTAAGAGTCTTTTTTAACTGCCATTTCTTTCCTCCTCTAATAGGGCTCCAGCACCTTTAAGATGTTATTTAGAACAGCCATACAAACATTTCTAAAGGACACATCCCTTTTAAGAGCCTTTTTTGACTGCCACACAAATATTTTTCCTTCTGGTCAGATGCAGCCAGAACTGGCCTCTGGGGGGTGGGCGTGATTGGTTCAACCAGCCGCGCTGCCCTGCTCCCCGATTAGCCGCCAGGTTCTTAAAGGCAATGCCCTTGAAGAGCTTTTTTAACTGGCAGGCAAATGTTTTCTCTCTGCTCAGTTAGCGTTAAGTCCTTAAAGGCAATGTGCAATGGCACCATCCTTTGCGGGTGAGTTTTTGAGACCCTCACAGATATTGCCACCCCAGTTGACCCCTGCTGGGGGCAGGGGTGGCTTAACCACTCTCCCCGTTGGCTGCTGGGTTCTTAAAGGCAATGGGGCCTGGCGGGGGGCGCTCAGGTGAGGAGGGGGTCGTCATCCAGGGCCTCAGCAGGGGGGGAGGGCCGGGACTCAGCGAGGGGCACTAGCAGAACGTCGTCCTCCCCCTCGGGGGAGGGTGAGAGGCTCGGGGGCTCCCCACAGCCCTCGGGGGAGGGGAAGAGGCACCCGCGGAGGGCCCCCATCATCCCCCTGGGCAGCCGCTGGGGGCCCGTTGGGGGCGTGGCTGTGGGGGGCTCTGGCCCAGGGGGCGGGACTTTCTGCGGCAGGGGCGGGGCCTCATCGGGCCCACCAGCTGCCCCCCCTTCCTCCTGGCTGGCAGCGTCTGGCAGGGGCTGGGCAGGGGGGGCGGCAGGGGGGCGGGCGGCTGGGGTGGAGCGGGGCAGCAACCCCCAGCGGCGTAGGCGGCGCAGCAGGCGGCGCAGGGGGCGGGGGGGTGGCGCGCCCGGCGCCCCCCAACCGGCTCGTGCTGGAGCAGATGGAGCAGAGAGCGTAGATTCCCCAGCAGCGACGTCTGCAATGAGAGAGGGGCGGGGGGTCAGCACCAGAGGGAGGGAGCCCCCCCATGCTCGGGGATCCAGGCTCTGTGTGGGGAAGCTGTGGGGGCTGTGGGGAGGGGGTGTGGAAGCCTAGGAGTGGTGGGTCGCTCAGTGGGAGCTGGGTCACGGGGGCTCAGGGTGTGGGGCTGGAGTGGGGTCTCTCTTTGTGGAGACAGGGTTGTGGTGGCTGCAGTGGGGGGGCTCAATGGGGTGCAGGGTGGATGCGTCTCACCTGCCCGGGGCTTTCGGTGGGGAAGTCCTCGAGGGGTGGGACCAGCCCCTGTGCGATGAGCTGCCCATAGGACGGGGGCGCCTCCTGCCGGACCAGCTGGGCATCGCTGCGGGACAGGGGGGCGAAGAGGCTGTGGGGGTGGGGGAGACCATGAGATGGCGACAGATGGGCTTTCCACCCCAGCCCCCATTCCCCACAACCCCCAACTCCGGGTTCATCTGCCCCTGATCCCGCCTCTCCCCATAGCCCCGCCCCACCCACCTGATAGCTCCACCCCCATCCACCCCATCCCATAGCCCCGCGCCCTGCCCCTACAGCCCTGTCTGTTGTCCAGAGCCGTACCCCCACCCCAGAGCCCCTCCCATCTCATAGACCTGCCCCCACCCCAGAGCCCCGCCCCCACCTGTACTCCCGGCTGCGCACGGCGTAGAGCCGGCAGGTGCAGCCCAGCGCGATGACCAGCAGGAGGCCGCAGACCAGGCTGCCGATGGCCGCGGCTGCCACCACCTTGCGGGGCAGGGTGTAGGGGCAGGAGACCTCGTCCGAGGCGTCGGCACAGTCAGGCTGCCCGTCGCAGCGCCAGGCCTCGTAGACGCAGCGCCCGTCCCCGCACCGGAAGTTGCCGGGCTGGCAGTGCCAGCAGCCCCGCTCGTCCGCCCCGTCCGGGCACAGTGTCTGGTAGTTGCACCGGTCAGCGGGTGCGTAGCAGGGGCCGCCGGCGCCACCCCGGCAGGGGTAGCTCCCTTCTGGGCAGCCTGGGCAGTGCTCCTCGTCCGCCCCGTCTGGGCAGTGCCAGATGCCATCGCAGCGCTCCGCCTCCCCGTAGCACCGGGCCTCGTCCCCCCGGCCGCAGGGCCGCTGCCAGGGCACGCAGAACCCACGCACGTGGTAGGTGGCGTTGAAGCCACGGCCCCCCAGGCCCTGCCAGGCCACCCACGCCCGGCTGGAGGGCGACTCCACCACCACTGGCTGCCCGTTGCTGGCCGCATCCACACGCCGCAGCAGCCGCGGCTCGGCCAACAGGTCTGGGTGGCCCTCGTACACTTCTAGGGAGTCGTTCGGAGCCAGGTCCAGCGTGGTGAAGAGCACAGTGAGGGGGCGACTGTCGTGGGGGTCCAGGGCCCAGCGGCACCGGACGAGGGCTCCAGCAGGGCCTCCAGGCCAGGCAGGCGGAGAGAAGACCCCATAGAAATCATCCAGGGTCAGGTTACAAGATGGAGGTGAGGCAGAGAGGAGGGGACCTGCTGGGACGAGAGAGAGTGTGAGACAGGGACAGGCCTTTCATATTCTCTCTCTTTGTTCTTCTGTGCAAAATCACAGCAACAAGATGGAGTTTGTAGCCACCTGGGCAAGTCACATGTCCATGAATGATTCAGATTTTTGCAGGCTGACGCCATTGTTTACATGTTAGTTTGAACGTTCCCAGGAAAGCTCAGATGTGGATTGGCATCTCCCAAAGTCCATTGTCAGTTAAGTGTTTCTTGATTGGGCACTTACTGAGAATAGTCCTGTCTCAAGAAACTTGAGGAAATACTTCACTGAGACTACTTAGAATCAAAACACATTGAGATACAAGTACAGAGCCAATATTCATGACTTCAAATACAAAACTGATACACACATGTAGACAGCACAATCAAAACCAGCAAATCATCACCTTTCCATAGATCTCCTTTGTACAAGTTTTGGTGCAACCATAGGACTTTGGTTGCAACAATGATCTATATGGTCATAGTTCATGTCAATAACATCACAGGATGGTTGGGTCATATGGGGATGGATGGACGGATGGTTGGGTGGTGTGGGGATGGATGGATGGATGGTTGGGTGGTGTGGGGATGGATGGATGGATGGTTGGGTGGTGTGGGGATGGATGGTTGGGTTGAGTTGTGTGGGGATGGATGGTTGTGTGAATATTGATTATTTGGTTGGGTTATGTGAGGATTGATTATTTGGTTGGGTCGGGTGCGGATGGATGGTTGGGTCGGGCGGATGATGATGGATGGTTGTGTGGGGATGGTTGGGTTGTGTGGGGATGGATGGTTGGGTTTGGTGGGTTGTGTGGGGATGGATGGGTTGTTGGGTTGTGTAGGGATTGATGGGTGGTTGGATTGGGTTGTGTGGGGATGAATGGTTTGGTCGGGTCGGGTGGGGATGGATGGATGGTTGGATCGCATCGGGTGGGGATGGATGGTTGGGTCGGGCTGGTGGGGATGGATGGTTGGGTCGTGTTGGGTGGGGATGGATGGATGGTTGGGTCGCGTTGGGTGGGGATGGATGGATGGTTGGGTCGCGTTGGGTGGGGATGGATGGATGGGTCGGCTTGTGTGGA